GCCATGGTGCTGCTGCTGCAACTTGTGTAATTAATTATCAAGTAGGCTATATTTGATGCTCAGTTTTGCTTATTTTGGGCTACTGATAAATGGAGCTGGTCTCTGTACTTTGACTCTGGAGGTAAAGGGGAGCCAGTCTCTTTTTGGAAGTAATGAGCACGAAAATTGCTAAGCAGAGGCCGATGGAGTCTTACTTCAAAAACTCAGAAGAGTGGCTAGAACTCTGTACCCATTTACAGGAGGCAAACTGAATATGTTTGTAACTTGGCAGTAATTGTGTAATCATTAAACGTGTAGCAAATATTTGACTGGGACCAATGATAATCATTCTCTCTTACAGTTCTGCTTTGCTGCAAAGTTCTTAGATGTTCTGTAATTTGTTGCCTTGTGTTTAAAAGTTCTGTGCGATGAAGAGTGAGTGGTTGTTCCCTTGGATGGATCTAATTTTTAATATTCTTGTAGGTCCTGCAAGCATAGGCTTACTCAGCCCGGGCATATTGGAATATTTACTTCACAGCTTGGTAAGTGTCTTCGATCTCTTTGTGTGTATCCATACATAGCAATTATAATGTAACTTATTTTTTTATTATTATTGTGAAACATTAAAGTTGTGTTTGGTAAGAGAGCCTGTGGAATCTCCATCCTTGGAGATAATCAGAAGTCAGTAGGACAGGGCATTCTGCAGCCTGGTCTGCTCGAACCGGCTCTCGACAGGAGGGTGGCCTAGATGACCTGTGGAGGTCTCTTGCAACCTATAGCATTCTGTGACAGATTAACAGCTTTTCCTGTCCGTCTGTGCCGGGTATTCCTTAAATAACTTTTTCTTACTGCCCATGTTTAGAACTTCCAGTCCCATCCGACGGTGATGCTTTTTGCACTAATAGCACTGGAGAAGTTTGCACAAACGAGTAAGTATTAACCTGATGCTGCTCTTACCATTCACACTGTGGCTTCTGCTGCTTGATTGTCACTTGCTTCATCTGATAGCACATGTGAGCATGAGAGACTGGATTGGTGGGAACACATATATAGAAGAGAAATGTTTGTCCGTTTACAGGCAAGAAGAATATTTATTGCTTTAGTGACATCCCTCTATCCCTCAAAATCCTTGAGATACTTGCTGAGACTCAGTGCAGTCCTTCCCAGTTAGAAACTGCTGTAGAAGGACTTATGACATGAGGCCTTTGTCACTGAAATAAATCTGTAGTAGAGGTGGTGAACAGCTATGATTGGGTGTTAGCAGGCAGGGAAAAATATTTATTGCTTTAATGACACCCCCACCCACAAACCCTTAAGAGATTTGCTGAAACTCAGTCCTCCTCAGCTTAGAGATTGGTACATAAAGACTTGTGACACGAGGTCTTTGTTACTTGAAATAAATCTGTACTAGAGAGATGGAGAACAGCCATGATATAATAGTCGTGGTGGTGCAGCTCCATGCTGAGAAGTGGTATATCTGAGCGCTAAGGTAATTCCATGTCTGCTTGGGGAAATGGATTCATGCTGTTTCTGATGCTGAGGTTTAAAGGGGGGGTGTGTGTAGTTCTACTGTATTTGTAGAATGTTACTATTTTTAACTAAACTTATCCCTTGTTTATAGCAATTATTCTTTTTTGCTTTTAAATTGCAGGTGAAAATAAAATGACAGTTTCTGAATCGTGCATTAGCGACCAACTGATCTTGCTGGAGAAATGGACAGATAATCCAGACTACTTAAAACGCCAGGTTGGCTTCTGTGCCCAGTGGAGTTTAGACAATCTGTGTAGGTATAACGAAGGGATGGATTCATTTAATATTAATCACTTCTCCAATGCGACAGAGGACTAGTTTGTGTTTTGTTTTGTATAACCACTTATTGTAAATACGTCTGGCTGCATTTGTAGTCACTTTTCTTTAAAAAAAAAAAAAAGGCAAATAAATCCAGTATAGTTGCATGGAAAGGAAATTTTGGCAAGGAAAATATTTGTGAAAGGAATTGGTTTGTACAATGAAAATTCTTTTTTGCACCATATTTCCTGTAACCCATGCTTCAGCAGATGTGCTGAGTAGCTAAATAGTGCAGCTCTGTCTGTGGAACAGCTGGATGACTGACACATCCTGGTGACACTGTGACCGTACCCCAGTACTGCACTGTCTCAAAGAATTGCTAAAGACCTTTTAAAGTAAAAATACGGTCTTGTGATCAAAGTGAAGTGTTTGACAAAGCGCTTTACCAGATCTATCCTTTTGGATGACTAAAGATCATTAAATTCGCTTGTTTAGTTGTGATTTCGAGGGTGCTGCAACTCTTGTAGTTTCTAATGCCAGTTTTGGATAAATTGGGCAAAACGTCTTGGACTTTATGGGGCTTTAACCAGCTGATGGAAGGCCAATGTCAGTTGTGTTCTGTAAACATCTGCAGAAGTGTTGTAGAGCCTTTGGGATAGATGAACGGTCCTAAGATAAGATCTCTGATTTGTAAAGTAAGGTGCACGTGTCAGCAATTTGACACCTGGCAAGATAAAGGCTTCTGATCCTCCCGTGTAAAAAGGGGATGCAGGGAGAAAGCTGCGCTGGCTCAGTTCAAGTTCATCACCTACCTGAAAACGAGAGGGTAAAAACCTTTAAATCCCTGTTTTCCCCTTCTGCTGCCTCCCCCCAAAATCTTTTCCACTGTGGTGAATCAGAAAAACTGCCCAACTGAACACATAAAAGTAATGGTAAATCCTGAAACAGTGGCATCTTGGTATGAACTTTGGATGCCTTATCTTTGCCTCTCGGGTTTCCTGGAAGTAGTAATTAGACTGTAGGAGCTCTAGTCAGAGGTATAGGCTGTGCTCTGCTGTTTAAAGGATATTTAACACACAGCGTATTGGAAGTGATGCTGTTTTCACACAGACAAAATGCCAATATTTCATTCAGTTATACCAAAAATTAACTGGATCCTAGAGAGATTGATTACCACTGTGTGAACTGTTTAGAATAACATTTTGCTGCAGCAGTGACTGAAACTAGTTTTATTTTGCAGTTTTAAAAGAAGGCAGGCAGTTTACGTATGAGAAGGTTGACTTGACCAACATTAGGGCTATGCTGAACAGTAACGACGTCAGTGAATACCTGAAGATCTCGCCACATGGATTAGAGGTAGGATATCATTTCATGATTTCAGCCTAAAAAGGACTCTGAATAAAAAGGCAGGTTTTAACTATTTTTGTTTGCTACTTGCTCCTGTGATTTCCTGGAATGCATCAAAGTTCTCTGCCAGCTTTGTATGGAAAACTTGCTTTGTCAGAGGGTTGTAACATCGCTACACTGATCTCAGTTGTAGAAATGTTCACAGTACAGTAACACCTGTATCTGTGCCCCAAAATTTCAGAGAAGTGAGGAGGATGCTGAAGAGTCAGCTGGCTTGTGACTGAAATTGTTCACAAAGTTTAATTTCTATTGTTTGCCCCGTCTAGTCTTGAAAAGCCCATAGCAGTAAGATTTTTGTCTCTGCCATGTGTTTTGGTTTTTTTCTTTGTTACTTTTTCTGAAAACTTGTTTGACTACTTACAGATTAATTTTCATGTGACATGAAATACCTCTGTGTCCTTCATACCAGGAGTCAGCTAATAACTGATGACTTAGGTTTTCCCAGCTTGGTTGTCCTAGTCTTTAAATCTTTAAATTGACTTTGTCAACTCTCTCCCTTTTTTTTTTTCCTTCTCTTTTTTTTTTCCTGTGGCTTACCACTGAACAATTTTCAGTCTTGCCTACTTGCTAGTTTTTGTGACAATTACTGCTATAGAGAGAGGTCACTTTCTGCCTTAAGTGCCTCTAAAATTATGATGGTATATTCTTATATGCAGGAAACTTGATCCAGGGAAGAAAGGGACTTGTTTGAATGCTAAACTTAAATCTGGTTTGGTTTTGGTAGGCTCGATGTGATGCCTCATCCTTTGAAAGCGTTAGATGTACGTTCTGTGTCGATTCTGGAGTTTGGTACTATGAAGTTACAGTCGTTACTTCAGGAGTGATGCAGATAGGATGGGCTACCAAAGACAGCAAATTTCTCAATCATGTGAGTACATGTAATGTCATCTAGCTGATGACGTAACTTCAGCATTTTTCTACTTACGACACCTATGAAAATAGCTGTGGTTATTCTGTGCTAGTAACTGAGCATTTACATATTTCCTTCAATTTTTCTGTACCTTTTGTGAAGTTATTTCTCCGCATTTAGCGGTACAAGAAAAGGCCGTAGTCATTGCTATGGACTGACGCTGTTTGCACAAGTCATGCGTAGCAGCTAGCAGTGACAGCTTGTAATCTACTTGCTGTTGTCTGGAACCTACAGGGAAATGGCTTATTTCTTGTGGCTTAGTCTCCTGGAAGTTCTTTAGATAACAGCAGTGGTTACTGTCTGTTGTTTTGGTGAAGTAAACAATTGCTCGCTGGGAACCAGCAGATTATCATGCACTCAATTTTACACAGGTCACCAAGCAGCCATTTGATTACCCTCTTTAACATACTTTCCTATTAAATTAACTTTCATAAGGGGAATAATTATTTAAATTGACTCTGGGTTAGCATGGTATCATTGGATCTGCTGGTGGCAGCAATACGGTATGGTTTGGGTATGTGAAAGCTGCTTTTTTAATTAAAAATCAGGATTACAAAAAGATTAAGCCCTCTACCTTCTTGCCTTTATGCTGATAATACAGAATAAGTATGCTGTCTTATTTTATAGTTTGCTTTGCTCTCCCTCTCATCCAGATAACTTGGTATCTAATTGTTAATTCTAAGTATTATTCTTCCTACTATTCTACTTTGAAAATTAGGAACTTATTAGCATTAAAGCAAAATGTGCCATGTGCACGCAAAGTCCAAACCTAAAGTCAAAGAATAATCTCAAATGTTAGTACAGATGTAACTAGGACTTTTTACATCTTCATGGTAACTCTGTATGGCTGTTACATGCATGCTGTAGTATATTTGCTTGGCATTTCCATAATATTAAGCAAGCGTAATGATTACTACCCAAAAAACTTGCCTGCTTCAGCCTAGAGAGGACTTTCCGTGTTATCAGCCCTCCAAACTTCCATTAAAGTTCATTAAAATGCAAGCTAGAATTTTAGTACAAGGGGCATGTATGGCCAGAATGGAAATACAGCGCTGGGATTTTAAGTTGACACTTCTACTGGCTGAGCTGGAGTAAGTAGTAACTTAGCCTTACTTTATTGTTGGAATTGCATGGCTTTCTGTTCCTACTTGGAATTTAATTTAGGAGAAGAAGAATATGTGTTTAATGTAGAGATAAGCAGTTAAAACTGCTCATTTCTGAGTCAAATGCAGAAGCTAATGTGAAGATAGATAGGCCAAACACATAGAGTCTTAGAATCATAGAATCATTTTGGTTGGAAAAGACCCTTCAGATCATCATGTAGAACTGTTAACCCTGGCACTGCCAAGCCCACCACTAACCCATGTCCCCAAGCACCACATCTACACGTCTTTGAAATCCCTCCAGGGACGGGGACTCCACCACTTCCCTGGGCAGCCTGGTCCAGGGCTTGACAACCCTTTGGGTGAAGACATTTTTCCTAATCTCCAATCTAAACCTTCCCTGGCACAACTTGAGGCCGTTTCCTCTTGTCCTGTCGCTTGTTACTTGGGAGAACAGAGTGACCCCAACCTCGTTAAAGTAACTGTGAGTAAATATTGATGGTGGGGGCTATGAGAGAAATACAACAAGGAGATGAAACAAACATCAGTGGCGAGACCCCAACAGGACTGGGAGAGTAGCTTTTCTCACCATTTAACTTAAGTCTTGCTTTCTTCTAATTATTCACGTAAATAGCGTTGTTGTCTGCTGGTGTATAACATCCATGTATCTCTACAGCACAGCCAAAGTCCAGTCCCACATTTCTAATGTGGAATTGCAAGGGTGATTTCAATTAAAAAATAACCAACCAACCAACCACGCAAAAATACCACACAGACGTGTCCTGAGCACAGGCATTGTAGACATTCAGGGTAATGGAAACTGTTTGAAATAAAAGGCCATGTGTCTGCCTCTAGACTGTTAAGAGGTTTAAAAGCTTTTTCCCACTTACTGTTAAGGAGCTTGGTGTACATGCATTTTTCTATCTGTGCTTCCTGTACGAGGTTTGAAAGTCGGAGATGTCGCATCTCTGAGCAGGATGATTTTCTGTTGGTATGATTGTTTTGCTGGTGGCTAAATGCTACTGGTGTCTAAGTTCATTGGGTGTCTACCTGAAATACAAGATACTATCTTCTGGGTACGTCACAAACACAGAGTAGCCATATGCTCTTTATTGACAGCATGTGTAACAAAAAGCCTAGTCCTAAATATGACATTAAACACCCATTAGCTGGGCTTAGCTTTAATTTGGGGCTTGTGTAATCAGATGCTGTCTAGTATTTGCACTCCAGACAAACCATGCTGAGCACAAACAAGTTATCGTCCATAAGGTTTTTGGGTTTCATGCTTGGGTTCTGCTACAACAGATTCTTCTTCCAGCCTGAAACTTTCAGGTTGGCATTTGTCTTGGACCTTGGGACTATCACTTGATGACCTTTTCACAAACTGAGGGAGGCTGGCACTCAGAGGGACACAGCATACAACAAGTTCAGCAAAGGGACTGTGGGCTGTTCTCTTTGTGTACTGTATGTTCTGGTGGCACTTGGTATCTTGGGGGGAAGGTATTACGAGTCTGGTACTGAGGATTCGAGATAAGGGAGTGGTTACACTTCTGTGTTGACTTTTTAAGATGAAAAAAGTTAACTCTTTGGGTACTAGCCTTCTGGGGTTTTTCAAAATATTTTAATAGGAGTGATTTGAGCTCACAGAGAATGAAAAACACTTTGGAGACACTATCCCCTTCTTCGGCCCTCCTCACCCCAGCAAATTCCTTTTGATGTGAAAATGAAACTAAGACTAGTTTGAAAAAATTATCTTCACGGGGGTGGGAGAAACTCTTTGTGCTCTTGGATGAAAGGTTTAGTTGAATAAACTTTAGCCCTTCCGTGTGAGGAATGGCTGCAGACTGACATGCTTTTCTTTTCCTAAAGGAAGGTTATGGCATCGGGGACGATGAATACTCTTGTGCATACGATGGCTGCCGGCAGCTGATTTGGTATAACGCCAGAAGTAAACCACATTCCCATCCCTGTTGGAAAGAAGGTATTCGGTCATCTTCTGCTGTTTATATGAGCTGGATTTCTGCATTGGATTTTTTCCTTTTGCAGGTGTCTAGAAAACAGTTTGTTAGTAGGTGCGAACAGAGCAGTTACTGCTTTATCCTGATGATAGTAGCAAAGGTTTAATAATTATTGTGCCTTTACTAGTATTTACAATGGTTTAAATGTACAAAGAGGGCACCACACTCTTGTTCCACAATCTGTGTGAAGAGAATCTTGTTGGTTGAATGCTTTTTCTTTTCATAGGCAGAGTACAAATCATAGCACCAACTAAAGTTGCTGGACATTGAATCATAAAACTTTTTTCCAGAACAGGGTTGAAATCTTCCTTTCTGGGTTGAAAGAGTTATTTCAGAGAAGGGAAAAAACCTTGATCTCTGAATTAGACTCTTTTTTTCTTTTTTTTCTTTTTCTTTTTTTTTTTTTTTTTTAAGGAGGAATTGCACTGTCTTGGTTGCTGTCCAAACAGTTATCCAAGAATTTAAAGTTCTGTTCTTGATCTCAGCTTTGAAATCTTGGTAGGAGTCTGTGCATGCCATGCTTGTGTGAACTGTGCCACTTTCTCTTCTGTTAAAAATTTCTCCCAAGGATGACTAAATTAAAACACCTCTTAAAAATAAATAGCACGAGCATATTAGAAACTTAGACTGTAGGAAGTACGTGTCCCGAGGGTATCTTCAACGGATGTAAAATAGCCAAGGAGAGACAGAATGCAGCTCTTCTCTGGCTGTGGCAAATACTCTGCAATACTTCTACAACTTGGTAGCATTAATGCTGTGGCAGACTAAACTATTTAAATTTTTTACTATTTTGTCCTGGTTTTTTTTCTTTAGTTACTGTTTGTATCAGTGTTTCTTCCTTTATGCTTTTGCAGACAGTTCTTTTAAGTGAGACAACTTCTAGTGAGACATGATACTTAAAACAGTAGCTGTTTCAGCTGTTGGCATTTAACAGAACTGAAATCTTTAAATTATCTTTGTTTTGCATGTAAGGAGACACAATAGGATTTCTACTAGACTTGCAAGAAAAGAAAATGATCTTCTATTTAAATGGCAACCAGCTTCCTGCCGAGAAGCAAGTCTTTTCGTCTGCTGTGTGAGTATGCGCTCATTTGGAAGGACAGTGACCTGTGTGGATAATTGTTTTAATTACATGAAGTGTTTCCCGTTTGAGAAGTACATTCATATTTGCTCACCTGAAGCCATCATTAAGCGGGTTTCCCAATTGAAAGTTGCTTAGAAATGAGTGAGAAGGATGTCATTTTACAGGTGGATTTCAGGGTCCAAAATAAAATAAATACTTTGGACCTTCCAAGGGTAGGTTCAACTCGATGTTTTCTACTGTCACACTAGCACAGCGTTGAAGTAGAATGAGGCTGTAGCAAAGATGAACAGATTTCTAGTAGTGCTTGAGGAATTTTTGATCTTTTGAAAAATAAAGGCTCAGTTCTGTAAATGCTGAAGAGTTCCTATTAACTTACTGCCGTTCACTGGGGCCAGCTCCTGTAGGACCATATTGAATGTTCAGGGGAAGACATTGCTTGGTAGCATTACAGAAAGGTGTTAGGCTTATTTTGCCAACTCTGTTAAAATTCACACATGGCTCATTCGTCTGACTCTCATGGAGAAGTTCAGCCTTCTAGTTCTGAAAAGATAAGCCAGTGTGATACTTGAGAAAGAAGCTTCCTATGCAGCTTAATTAAATGTTACAGTACTTTGTAAATTAATACTACTGTGCTAATAATTTCATTCATGTTTTCTCCTCAAAATGAAGTTCAAGATGCAAGCAAAGAGTAGTTCAGTTGAAAGAGCTGCAGAGTATCTTTGTATTCAGCTCGCAGTGCTCTGTTCTTCATGTGGAGTATGTCATTTATATACTCAACAGATTCTGTTAGTTGGTTAGAACTTAGGGCATTACTCAACGTGGGCCCTTTCAGTAAATAAAACTGAAAGAGGTGGTAGTTGTGGTGTTTTTACAAGGTGTGTGTGTGCAGACAAGCCAGCTGTCCTGAGATAATCCTGCAAGGGTGAGGAGGAACAGATGGGCGTTGTGCTAAGCGAGCTCAGACCTGGGTTCATCCTGCACGGTCCCACACAACAAGCGTACAAGAGTTGCACGTTCCCCAGATTTGTGCCCGCTCAAATAAAGCAGTGGGAGCTGTGGGCATGGATGTGCCCCTTGCTGTTGGTACTGCTCCTCACAACGCTACTGAACAGCACTCGTTTGGAAGAAGACGACTTCTCCAGCGCTGAAGGAGATACCTGAGCTGATCACTGTAAAGAGGATCAGGTTGTAGGCTGTTCAGATGTATGTATCTGCTCTTAGCCTAAGTGTGACTAATCCTAGTTGTAGAGTAGACAGCTTTTATTGGCTGACTCAGTAGTAAATTCGGATAAGCCCTGATAGTAAATGCAGAAGTTGAGAACTAAACAAGGAACCTATGTGCAGCTGAAACTGGATGTGTCAGAGGTTTTTCTCCCGATCAGCTGTAGAACACTCCTATTGAAGGAACTTGCCTCTGTTTCAGGGTATATTTCTGTTTGGTAATGGTGTAACACGTCTGGAAAGTTGTTTGTTGTTTAAACCATTCTAAAATGTCTGTTGTCCATCATATTGCAGATCTGGCTTTTTTGCTGCAGCTAGTTTCATGTCCTATCAACAATGTGAGTTCAACTTCGGGGCAAAACCTTTCAAGTACCCACCGTCAATGAAGTTTAGTACCTTTAATGATTATGCCTTTCTGACAGCGGAAGAGAAAATCATTTTGCCCAGGTAATCCTCCTGTCTAGTTTGAGTGTGTTTGCATATGAAGAAATAAAATGCTTCACTTCTGAGTTGCATAGTCTGATGTTGTACTGGGCAAAGTAATATTTTATGGGGTCACACCTCCATAGGTGCCTTTCAGAAAAGGGTTAGACCATAGGCTCCGGTGCAACTTCATGTATGTACATTAAGCGATGTACAACCAAAATCCATTAAATTAAAATATTTTTGCAATATTAAGCTAAATTAAAATTAACTAGTACTGCACAGTGAACTGTTTTTAGTATAAGTGCCTCCTGCCACCTAATGATTAGGTTTTGGTTGAGGGAGGTATAGTCTTAATTAAAAAAAGATGTCTTATTTAAAATTGACCTAATTTGTGATGTTGGCTGCATGGAGGTACTGAATGATTGTAAGACTGGAAGCTGTCCTTCTTTTCTGATCCAGAAGAAAATTTCCCCATTTGTGAATGACAGTACCAACAAAAGTTATTCACACTTTAGAAGTGCTTTCCCACCTAAATATAAATCAAGCCAGATAGAAACAGGTTTGGATACATTTTTCCTTAACTTACCAAACTTCTGGCAGGAATGAAAACTAATAGCTTTTCTGCTTTAGGTCATTAGTAATAACGTAATTTACTGAAACGTGAATAGTAACAGTATGCAGTGTAATCTGGGGATATATAGCCTGCCCCAGATTCGCAGCTTTGTCTAAAGATGTCCCTTGAGTCGTGCTGATGGATGTGGCTGGAATAATCTTTTCTGGGGGTGTTGTTGGAGGTGGGTGCCCCTGGCTATAATAAAATTGAGAGATGGGTTTTGAATTATCTCGCTGTTCGATCAAGTGAATTAGGTACTTAAGTATCTGGTGTTTAAAAAGCAAACAAAGAAATACCTTACTCCTGGATCAGTGTCACACATTGGCAAAGTTTGAGGTTTGCGATATTGTGTTTATGCAGAGAAAATCAGATGCAACTTGCAAGACCCTTTTGTATTTATATATTGCCAGAGTAATTTACACCTGCTTGTAACTGCAGGTGCTTTAAGTGAGTGTCTGATCTACCCCCTTCAGATGACGGGTTAGTTATCATTGCTCAGCCCCCTTTTCAAATCAAGTCTTCTCCTGTCTTATTAATAAATGTCGTGCACTTGAGGGCTTTTGCCATCTTTTGCTGATGATCAGATGTGACTGTTACTGATGTCACTCTGGCACTACTCTTGCAATGTTTAACCAGGAGCTGTTGTTTGCTTGTGCCAAAAGGTGTAGGGGGAAACTGGGGGAAACTGGTTTCCTGTTGATGTCTGACTGGAGAAACTTGGTCTCCTGCGTTACAGCCTGTTTAACGTGTGATGACACTGAAAGGCTCTGTTCAGACGTGGGTGCTGCTGCAGTCTGAACTGTTCAGAAACAATAAGCCAATCCTAAATTAAAAGATAGCTTTAATCTGAAAAGTGATAGGAAAAAGGGCCTGAGTGGAACCTAATTGTCCATCATAGGAGTTACCAGGTGTTGGGGCATAGTCTCGGGTAGCCATGTCACCCTGCCATTGAACAGTTTTGTCGTGTAGTGCATGTGTTCCAAATTTGAAATGTCTTATTTCATCAAATGGGGGATTTTTTTCCATTTACTCTCCCTTGTAGCAGTTGTCATACCAGGCTGTCAATTTTACTTTCAATTTCTATTCCTTTACACTCAGTTACAGCATTATAGGGTTTCTGAATTTTGTTGATACGTAGGTTTCTGTGGTTTATTAGGTTTTTCCTTAACTCTTAAAAGTACACAGATACTAAAGAGCAATTTTTTTGAAGTGTTCAGCTGTGGGAGCTAGAAGAATTGTAATCTAACAGCCTCTTTGTCCCCTTCTGTCAGACTAGAATAGGGAGTCGAAGGCTGTTTTGAACATCTCTGGATGTGTTAAGCCTTTTTTTTGTGGGAAGTTACAACTGATGTTTTTCAGCAGTAGTATTGAGTAGCATAGGCAAGTGTTGCATTGGACTTGATGGAATACTCAGAATAGTTATGAGTCTATCATTTTTTGAGTCAAACTAATGTGTGTGGGGGGGGTCTCTCTTTCTTCAGACACAGACGCCTGGCTTTGTTGAAGCAAGTGAGCATCCGAGAGAACTGCTGCACGCTTTGCTGTGATGAAGTAGCAGACACAGAACTCAGGCCGTGCGGACACAGGTAAAACCTTAAAAAAACCCCAGAACAAACCCAAACCAAAAGAAACAGGAAAATGTGTTTGACACTCAGCTTAGGTGAGACCAGATGCAGTCCCTGCGTATCTTAATTGACTCCACAGCATAACAGAAATAAGCCTTCCTTGTAAGGACGTGGCAGAGGTTAAGCACAGTATTCCCACCATTCCCCTCAGCCTAGACCTGGGCAGATTTAATCCCTAGTGATGTGTGTGTGTTTGTGGTCGGGGAAGTACTGTGCTACCAAGTCTTAATTCCCTGATATCAAAGGTTTTACTGATGAGTACTTGTTTAGTACTGGTGCTCTGAAATCCAGATCGCATGAGGAGGGCAGAAAATTCATTATAGACTCAAATACTCATTAAATGTTCAACAAATGGATTGTCTCAAGTCACAAATTCATCTAAAAGCTAAAATTGGGTCAGCAGTCAGAGTAATACCATAATAGCACTTCCCTGCATTTAAGCAGCCTACTAGGAATTTAATCCAGTCAAGTCTGGTTCCTTAGTGTTTCGAGCGCTCGTGGAAGCAGTCTTGCCATGGGTCTGGATGCTGCAAAGATAGAAAGGCAAGAGACGTGCCCAGTGTGCCCTGACAAGAAGCAGAAACGGCTTCACACTGGGCACTGCTGTTCTCCAGATCAGAGAAGTGTCAAGATTAAGAAAAGCGTCCAAGTGTAATCCTGACCAACTGCACTAGCAGTTTCAGGTCTGTGAGATGCTGAGCTCCTCTCAAAGCCTGTGGATCTGCAACACCTGACCTGCAATTCCTAATCTCCATGCTGAAAGACCTAGCCTGCTAGAAACACAGTCAAGATAACTAAACTGCTTAGTGCTGGGATTTTTTCCATTTAGTTTTTCATGCTGTATATGCAGGCTTTAACAGATTTCTCTTCTCCTTCAGTGACCTGTGCATGGAGTGTGCCTTGCAACTGGAGACCTGCCCTTTGTGTCGACAGGAAATCCAAACCCGAGTCAGACAGATCTCTCACATTTCATGACACAGGTGGAGAAATACCACAGACTTGTTTTTAACAAACTCCAACCAATACCGAAAGGGGAAAGCATCTCTAACAAATCTTTACGCACATAGAACCATAGCCACGGCCAGATTTCATGCTAAACTGTAATCTGTTTATCTTAAAAAATGAAATCTTTAATAAGCTATTTCAAGTTGCCAGCGATGAGAACCAGTTTCAACAGTAAGGAGAGCTGGTAGGTCAGCGTGCTATGGCTATTGGTTCCTCCAAGCAAGACCATAGGAGAGTGTCTCTCTTCTGCCCCCTTTCCTTCTCGCCTGTCGCAAGTGCTGAAAAAGTTTGCACTGGAAGTATGCGTACAATGCATTTTAGAAAAGAAGAGAAAAGAAATATCTCCTAAAACAGGGCTGTTCTGTCTTGTGCTCAAGAGTCTCGATTTTTGGCAGAAGTCAGTACTAAAAAGAGAATGCCAATTTTTCCTGTTTGATGTAGCCTCCTGCTGGTCAGAGACTCTGTATCTTCCGACAGTGGATATTAAACTGCTCAAAGACTTAATCTGTACACGGACTGATTTGAAAAGACAGTGTGGAGACTGTAGAGAAACTCACATGTTTTAATAACTTGGTGATTCCAAAGAATGTTCTGATTTGTTTTTAACCGTTAAAAGATCGGTGGTATTTTCAAGTACATAATGTTTCTGATGCTTTTAACTTCAGTACCCACATTTTTTTTGTGAGGATATAATTTTCAGGAGGTATTCTTAACTAATTATTATGCTGGACTGGAATTAATTTGATATTCTGGGTATTTTTTAAGGTATCATCAAGCATCTTTTTTAATCAGTGTTGTTTTTGAAAGTTATGTTCACTTTGGAAATATTGAGCTATCTTAAAAGATTGGAGGAGAATTTTGGGCCAGTTTATTTAAAAAAAAATGTTATTTGGATAGCAAGTTCAGTCTTACTCTGTAACTCTTGAAAAATGCACCTTGCTTGCCATGTGTCAGTCCTGCTCTGAGCAGGTTTGGGGTCACACTTCATATTTGTGGTAGGAATCATACAGTGGGAATCTCTGTTCCAGTTTAATTACACGTTTGTGACGTTTGTGTGTTAGGATGCATTTCAGCAGGCAGCTTTTGACTGTTTTACTAGGTTTCTACAAGGAATCAGGGTTCACAGCTGGTGTCAGAGTAGCACAAAAATCAGTGGAGTTATGCTTATTTTGCACCAACTGAGGATATGACTCAGTCTCTTCCAAGACTTGTACAGGTTGCTTTTTTAAATTATCTGCCTCTATAGTAGAACTTTACTAATTCACACACAACTTACACCAAAAACATCCCACTTCTTGGCAGTGATTCAGCAGCAGAGGCTGCTGTAGTGAATTCTCATGCTGCAATGTATCTTATTTTTAAAATTGTTCATTATCTTATTGTACTATCAAGTATTAACAAAGCAGAGCTGAAGCTGCTTCTTCCTACTGAGCACTCCTGCTTCCTTAATGAGGAGCCGAGAGCTCTGCACACAGGTCCCAGCATCAAGCTCTCTAGCAGCTCCTTTTGCCTTCTGCCTTGGCTAACTTGAGGGTGCTGAATTTCATCCAGAGATTTTAAAAAAAAAAAAAGTGTCTCCATTGAACCTCTGGAGTACAGTGTGTGAATTAGGGAAGTTCTGTCCATCGTTTTTCTTGTTGACTTTTTTCCAAATACAGACTGAATCCCAAAATGGAGTGCTGGTTAGTCTTTTTGCTAAAATTTGAATGCTCTTCCACCTTGGACGCCTGTTTTGATTAAAATCAGACTGGCAAATCTGTGCTGGGGGGACCTCGCTCCCTTGCTGACTGTACGCTACCATGTTTTGCTGTACTCCACGTTGCCAGTCAGGGCCGAGTCCCTCCCTGCTCGGTGCTGAAGGAGCAAACATAACACCATCACTGCCACGAGGATCTTAGACTCTCAGAATCACTTGAAATGAAGTTTTAAATGCTTCCAAATGCAATGATGCAAAGATACAAACCATACTTAGGAAAGAAGTGGGACAGAACCATTTTGAACTCTGCCTTAATAGATTCTAGTAACTTCAGGGCTTTGGTTTCCCTGGCCAGGATTAACTGAGGTAAAATTTTCAGAAGTGCCTAGGACTCCTGATTTGTATCAACTGCTGTATGAGATTAAGCTCTTAAGACCCGGGTCCACAAAGGCTTCTAGGTGTCTGGTGTCCCACTGAAACGGAGGTGACCCAAGAGCTTTTGTGGACACGGGACTAAGTGCCTGTGTTCTTTGTTGAAAAGATGTGAATGCTTTGGAAAATTTTGCCCCAGACCGTCTTCCATGCAGCTGGTGCTGGGCAGAGGAAGCCGATGGCGCCAGCGAAGGGAGCTGTGTTGCAGAGAACTGTCCTGTTCATTTCACAAAAGGGAAAGACTATACAATTCGACTGGCTTCCTGCT